TCAAAAAATTGATTGAGAGCAGGTTCAGGCTAGATATCAGGAGGCATTATTTTATGGTTAGGGCTGCCAGTCTTCGGAATGGGCTCCCAAGGGAGGTGGTGCTCTCCCCTAACTTGGGGGTCTTCAAGAGGAGGCTGGATAGATATCTGGCTGGGGTCAGACTTGATGATCTGTCCAGGTCCCTTCTGACCCTAGAAACTATGAAACTACCCTAGAAACTATGAAACATGTCTTTATGTCTGAAAATTTTTTTTCCAGTCTGTTTTTCCAGTCTGAAAGTCTGACTTCAGTCTAAAGAATACAATGCTGTGTAATCTGTAATCAAATGCTAACCAGCTATGCTAAAAATAGAAGCTAGTAAATGTGAATAATAATGATAATACCTAGTTGTTATAACTCAGATTATATTTTTCATCAGTAGATCTAAAAATACATTACAAAAGCAGGCAAGCACAACTATCCCCATTTTACAGAAAAGGAAATCAGTAATTACAGTCATGAGCTCTTTTAAAACAGAATTTGCAACAAGTGATTAATCTACTCTTTCTGCCTTACTTCAGACTAACATGGCTCTTTCTACCACCATAGGAAAAATAGGTTTTGTTGCAGATAAGAAGCAATGGTCATGCTTGAAGTACCTGTTCAACTGTGCCCAAATGGCCTTTCTTCTATTTAAATACTCTAAGGGTGAATATTACGCAAAATATGAAGAATGAGAACCTTTCCTGGATCCGGTTTCAAGAGGATCACTGCAGCAAACCACACCCCACCTCCAAGAACAGCAACATGATTTCTTGAACTTCTAAGATACAGCTCACGCAATTTAAAAAAAAATGAAATTTTGCTGTTATTAGTTCCTCACATTTGTTTGAGTGTAGTTCCTCGTTTTCTAACACACACAAAAATAAAAAATAAAAAGCTATGAAAAACCACACAGCAACACCTCTATCCTAATATCTTTTGTAATCCAATTTCACTCCCAGTGACTACTTAAAGAATTGCAGGATTGTTTTATTTTATATAAATCATCCCAGTCAAACTAAGTTTTGGTTTGTGTATAAAATGGATAACACCATTTTAGCTGTCCTTATACTAGGTTGTAGACAAAGGCTTAAAAGTCCAAATTTAATCTCAGAGACTTAGTTGTTTCCAAAAGATCTTTGTTGCTCTTCAATTAAAGTTTTTTTTTGTGTGGGGAGGGGGTCTCTTTTTAGTTTTTGCTTTTGGTAAACTTTAGTATCTTGAATCCAGTGCTAGGCAATGCAACACCTATGTATAAAAGGTTATCTTGCCTGAGGAGAAAGAGACCTAGGTTTTAGCAGTGTTAAGATACAGCTACTTGACCAGTTTGGTTAGTAGTTGGAATATCTGAATTGAAGTATCCTTATTATATTGATAATGAAATTACTTTATTTTTGTAATATAAAGGCAAGTGTGTTATTATAGAAATGTGTGCAAGTTTCTTTTTAGAAGATGAAACTATCTCATCTGCCCCAAGGCCAAACGCTGCTGTTCAGATTTTTAATTCTGGCATTTATATTTTGGATTCTCCATTTTAGAATGATGACTTTGCATTGTCCAACTCCTGGAATAGCAGGAAATAACAGAATGTGACTGTGATTTTGAAATAACTCCTTCCTCTCTTTCCCCTTACAATCCAAGTGCATAAAGGTGGAGGACACACTCAATATGTGAGGATTAGAAACTGTCTGCAAAGGGAACAACCCTATTTCAGGAGATTCAGGAGAGGAATATTTCTTTAAGCACAGTTCTCAACATGAGGAACTCATAGTCCATGCTGAGTTTCTCTTAGTGTCAGAAAAGGACTGCAGTGTTAGCACTGCAGGGAAACTCCACTACTTGCGATTCAGAAGTTGTATGGTTCTGCTAGTCATTTGAAGTTACAATCTGTTACCTATACCAAACAAATGTGTTTGTGCCTTTTATTGCCTGTCACTCTGTGACGTTAGTAACATTCCATTTTAATTGGAATGTCATTTTAAGGTTAAATACAGCTGACAAGACAGCACAGAACAGCCGTATGTATACTAACATGACAAAGTCTTCCTGCTGATTAGAGAACAGGAAAGGTGGGTCTGGCTGTGGGAATGCCTGAGGCCAAATCATCTTCCCTTCACAACAACCACAGGTGTCTCAGCAAGGGAAGTTTTAATTGGGGAATAAAAATCCTCAGAAATATAAAACTGAAATTATAAAGGAAGAATTGGCACTTGTTGATCCAAACAAATAACTGCCACAATAGTGTAAGTTGAGGCTTTGGCATGTTCAAACTTATATCTTTGCACATAATGCCTCAGTGTTCTCCAAGCTGAGGATATTAAAATAGTTGAACAAAGTCCTCTTACACTCTTTGGACTTTTCAGTTTATTCTCTGGTGGTAAAAAGAAGGAAAAAATCTTTGGTGACATCTAGCATGGAGACAAATTAAAACTAATATATTTCTGGGAAACTGTAGGTAAAAGAATTAAAGCAATAACACACGCAAAAATAACACAACTTTGGTATAATTCTGGTGGCTGAAATAACCCATTAATTGTCTTTGGGGAAGAATCTTCCCAAATTCCTTGGCTAATAAAGAACATTTAACATTAAACAATCTAATGATTTTTTTTTATTGTCTCAGTGTAAACACTTGGCTAAGATAAAACATAAATGTCTTTTTGTAATTATTGTATTGGTGTTACCTTACCCAACCTGAAATAACTGTGTTTATTACAGAACTGATACCAATGTGGATTCCACACTATAAGTTACAAAGCTGTTTTCCCTTCTCCACTCCAGGCTCTTTTACTTCATTTTTCAATCTCTTGGCTCCCATACAGTTATGTTTAATAGGAACACAGGAGGTACTAGGCCAATATCTCTTTTCTCTCCCTCAACCCCTGGTATGACCATTTCAAACAATGTTGTCAAACGGCAACCATAATGCTCCCCTGGGTCATATCCAGTCTATGTTTACTCCTAGAGTAATGTTTATTGTTTAAGCATCATGGAGTTAAACTATTTCAGCACAACTGGTTGATGATAACCAGAGCCCTTGAGGAATCAAGATATTCCTCTTAATCACAGCTGTACTTGGAACATATCACAGATGTGTCATCCTTAAAACACAAAGCCCCCCACGTAGTTTAGAACGACTCAAGGAATGAGACTAGATATGTTTAATTTTCAGGTTCCCATATAAGAGATTTTGAACTTGTTTAATTCCTCATACGTTTTATATCAAGATCAGTTCAAATTCTGTCTTAACTGTGTGTTTACTCAATGAACTACTGCATCACTGGTTTCCTAATCAAATAATGAAAGCTAGAGTTACAAATATTTTTTTTCATTTTTCTATTCTCATAGATTAATTACCTAACCTGCTGTAGTATTTTTACATTCAGCGTCACATCAAGTTTAAAAAACAATAATAAGACTCTTGCATAAACCACAGAATTGCAAATCCAAGTTCTGTGTTGTTAATGCTTTAACTAGCTATACTGTTATGTTTGGTGGTTTTACAATCATATATTGTCAGTTGCTTTAATATTAGATGACTTCTTGAGTAGTGGCACAATACCTTAAAGACTCATGAACCCAGTGGCTGAAACTGGAAACTAATTCAACAATAAAAATTGTGGAACTGGTGACGTAAGAGCAATTTAAACAAATCCGGCCAGTGGGGGCCCAGGAGTAGGTCTGTAGAAATGGGATTATGGACCTGAAGGAGGCAGTCTCTCTCACTGAGGTCTTTTTGGAAGCTAAGTTAGAATATGGGAAAGTTCTGGCTGTGCAGAAGGGGCAGCTCACCACAGCCCAGAAGTCAAGCATGAAAGATGATTGTGGAAGTGAGCCCCACTTTACTTCCTGCAATAACAAGTGTGAGCTAAGCAATCATGAGCCATGGAATTGAGGCCAGAATAGGCATAACTACAGGGAATATTAGACCTGGGGACAAGAGACTCTTCAGTCTGTTTTTCACAGGGCCACACTTCTCAGCGGTCACTGGTGCTGGAATTATGCTCTCATGGAGTATTACAGAGGCCTAGAGAAGTAGGGCTGGAAGGGACCTCCAGAGGTTGTCTAGTCCAACCCCCTACCTGAGGCAGTATCATCCCCATCCAAACCATCACATACAATCATAATCTAAGCTTTACACAAGACTACCATTAACCCTACCACAACATAGACCTAACACCCCAACCTGCCACAGGTAAAGTAGAGGAACCACATTCAACCTGGGGTCTCTGAGAGAAATTCTCAAATGCTGCCTCAGAACCCTGAGTAACGGCCATTGCTGTTTTTCTTTCCTTCTTCCCCCACTGCCACCTTTTCCCCTGCTTCTTATTTTAGTCATGACAACTGAAGCCTCCAAGTTTAGTTGTGGGCCTAAAGTCATTGGGAGGAGGTGGGGGGCAGCATTCATCTCCTGGCTTCTGGAGCCATGCTAGTGCAGCAGCTACAGAAGCTGTGCCAACATGTCCTGCAGGCTACAATTTAATTATTCACAGGCTGCATAATACCTACAGGCCACCAGTTGGACTACCTTGTTACAGATGATGGCATACAAGATGCAATGGCTATACAAATTCAACTTTAAAATAATATTAAGTTTCCAAGTAATACGTTTAATTTAAAATTCAACAGTTTTCAAAGGGAGGTAGTAGACTGTTTTCAAAATCCATCCAAATAAGACACTACTCAGCCCATCTACAAATACATCACAATTCCTTTTTATCAATTCCAACCATTTTGGTCACAAAGTAATAATGCTTTCCTAATGTACAGCAATTCAAAATATTGCTTTTAGTAATGTGCCTAACTTCTATACCTATCCATCAGTACAGGGAATTGCATTACAATCTCATAAACACAATAAGAACTATGAAGTATTCTGCAGCATTCCGTGAGAAATTGTGTCATCGATTTAGTAAGGTTACATATTCATTTACAAAAAAAGAAAAAAGAAAAAAGGAATGTATTTGTGAGCTACTTACTAGTGTAAGTGAGTTGAAATCCTTGGTCTGTATCAGATCCATTAGTATTAAATTCTATCCACAAGTGGTTAGAAGTGCTGTTGAGGATCACTCCCATCATTTCATTTTTGGTGAAGGCCCGCAAGGGACGTGAAAAGCTGTCTTTTCCATCATACACCTTAAAACAAAATCAAAACATGAAACTCTGTATGTACTTGAATTTTGAAGCATTTCAATTAGTTTTGTTATACTTAAACAATAATTTCAAGAAATTCTCTTAATATTTTTAAAACTAGCTTTTAAATAAACTATTATACTTTCAGCTTGGACAGAAATAGTATTTTTAAAGGTCTTTCTTGGCATTTCAATTCAGATGAGAGATAAGAATATGCTACCCACCAATGATTCACTTTACATTTTATACTTCACATTTTATATGGATAAATATAGATACAGATATAGATTATATGCCATAAGCACTTATACAGCTCAAATGCATTAGCTTTTGTGTGATTATTTGGAATGATATTAATATTTATACATGGATCTATCTACAGAGGCTTCATAACCATGACTTCTTTCATAATCCACTCACAAAGGCTGAAAAGGTTTGTGACATTTCAGTCAAGGGTGTCTCTTCTGAAATCACTGTTGGAATAAGAGGGGAGAGAGATAAAACCATCTCCCACTCTGTTCCATCCTGTCTGAATATATTATAAGCAGGAATGAGGTACTAAGCCAACCTGTCACCTTTTATTTCAGACTCTTAGCCTGAGGTAATTTGTGTCTCTTAATAAGTTATAATAAAAGAATTATTCTATTTGATACCACATCAGACAGATATATACTTCTATGTACAAAGTGCAGAAATGTTCCTATTTAGCAATCATGATTTGACCAGGAAAACTGAAGGTAGGCCAGAGTAACCAGCATTAACCTCAATGCTTTAAAATGGTTTAATCAAAGGTAATACACTTCTGACTGTTTGTAAATACAGAACTCCAGACATGATATCGTACTTACTTGTGGGGTTTTGTTTCATTTCCATCTCTAGTGTAAAATATTTGAGGCAATGAGATCCTCAAATGGCCTGTGATATTTTCAAGGGCCACTAAATGAATTCAATAAACCAAATACATATACATAAAACCAATTCTTCTTCCTATTTTATAAATTGTATATACTTTCAATATGGTTATAATTAAAAATGTGTTTGTGCACAGCACGTTTTAAAAAAAATTAGCATTTGCTATCTTCCATGTAGCACTAGGGCTGAAATGTCACTGTAGTTATGAGGGTCCAGGAAAGGTATGAGGTGCAAGGATTTTTGTAGTCTCTTTTATTGGAACAATTGAATAGTCAGAAAAATTGTTGGATAAGCTTTCAGGTAGCAAATGCCCTTCCACAAGTTGATGGAAGGGGAAGACACAGGCTGAGTCAAATTGCAAAGAGAAGACTCCATGAAAGTGCAAACAATTGACTTGGAGGGATGGAGAACTATGAACTGGTGGGAGTAAAAAGGTATTATAAGGAGCCATTATAAGACAAAATAAGAGAGAGGTAGATAGCTGTGTTAGACTAAAGTCAGGCAAAAGCAGGGTATAGATGCACCTTATAGACTAAGAGTAAGTAAGGGGGCAGGTGGTGCAAGGGTAATTTGTAGCTGCTGCTACAGGGCTGGGCTGGGGCCGTGTACCGTGCTTTGTGTTCCAGGCTGCAGAGAAGATGGAGCCTGCTGGCTCCAGAGCAAATGTAAGAGGGAGTGCAGTGGGGGGAAGGGAAGGGTGAAGCAGCACATTGGGGATACTGGGTGTGGTGGGGGCCCAAGGCTGCAGGGGAGGAGTGGTCCATGGGGGTTACAAAAGTAGGCAGAAGCAGGCAGCAGCTGTGGTTCCAGCTCCGATCTAGGGTTGAGGCCAGAATTAAAATTGCAGAAGCTGCCTGCTCCCTACCACTTTATACTTAATTTTAAGACAAGGGGCTTCTCCCCCTCTTGTTAAATGGGGTATAAAAATGGTCTTTTAGTAAAATAAATACAGTAACACATTTTCTGATGTACTGTATTTACTCAAATCCAAGACAACTTTTTTCCTTAACCAGAATTAAGTCTTATCTTACATGTAAGTAGCAGCCAGAGACAAGTGGTGCCTCAAGTTCAGGTTTGGCCGCATGCTCAGGGCTGAAACCAGAGCTGAGCTGATGCCTGTCCCAGGCCAGAACTGCTCATTTGGCAAGGATAGGGGCATGCAACCAAGAGGAGCATTGGGTAGACTACAGTGTAGTGGTAGGGGAACCTGGAGCCTAGACAGCAATTTGCATGGAGATATACAGAGAGGAAAGGAGTAAGGGGCAAGACTTCAGTGGGGAGCAGGGGTTTGGGGGCAGGGAGTGGGAAAGAAAGCACAGGCAAGGGGGCAAGGGGTGGGACGCATGTGCAGAGGGGTGCATAGTGGGAGGCAAGAAGAGACATAGGGTAACAGGGGGCAGGGGAGCAAGGGGCAAGGGTCTAGCTCCTTGCCTCCCACTGTTACTTTCCCTAACACAGCAGTGGAAGGGATGATTTAAGACGGCATTCCACTAATTAGAAATTTATGTATAATAAATGTATAGTTTCCCACATATAGAATAAAATTATTGTGGGGGAGGAGAGGGGATCATCTTATGTTCAAAGTCACCTTGGAGTCAAGTAAATACAGAACATTTCTAGATCCATGGTGTTTCATGATTTTGTCATGCAGGTTGTTGATTGTTGTGGTGTTGGGGTCATGCTAACAAGTTTTACATTTATTCTTAAGGCAGACTGTCCCCAGGGGACACGCATCAAAATAAGATCATCCAGTTTCTGTTTAGAAATGTGCTCTTTATGCTGGTTCTGTGATGTTTTGCCTATTTTTATTTGGATTACTTTTATTTATTGATATCAATACTACAATTGTTTTATATATATGTGTGATCAGTTTATTAACCTTTAAAACAGAAAACTCAATTGTTATCTAAAATTACACACACCTCTCCCTTTCCAATGTATATTCAACAGGAGTCAGGATAGTTGACAGTTTTTTAAAGAACCTGTATTAAAAGGTAAACACACTCTATTCTGATGCAAAGAAAAAGCAGGAAGCATCATAAGTAGGGGTCTACCCAACTTGAGGAGCCAAATGAACAATTTCACAGGAAGATCATAGGGTCAGCTGCCATTTTTGAGGGCTTATTGTAGTGGGGCCTCTCCACAGCTATGATAGGCTGAGGAATCCTGACAGCTCCTTCCTCCTTTCCCCACACTGCTCATTGGTAGTGAGCTTTCCACCATATGGCCTTACCCCTCACTGTTGATTGCCTGAGAGGGCTGTCCTACATTCAGTCCCACCCCTCACCTCTGATTGGTGGAGAGGGGTGAGGCCATGCGGTAGGCATCCCTCTCAGCCAATTAGTGGTGGGGGCAGCAGCCATCTTGCCAGCAGCCTTTCATGGCGGCAGATCCACTCCCCTCTTCCCTCTGGTGGGTCACAGCAGCTGGGAGGAGTGTCGGCTTCTACTAGGGAGTTAGCATTTTATTTTCAGTAAGTTTTTTTTTTCCCTATGGGTTTTGTGGAGATCACCAGATTTCATGAAATCTGAGCACTCATGATTTGGGTAGGTCCCTAATCATAAAAGATGAAATCATGAGTTCATCTCTGATCTGAAGTGAAGAAGGGATTGTCCAAAAAGTGTAAGAAGACAACAAGAGAGAGTTGTTTAGCTACTAAATGTGGAGAAAAAGCTAAAAGCAGATTATATGCAGAGCTCTGAGATGTTTAATACCTTTAAGCCTTCTCTAAAAAGGTTAATTGCAATAAGATAACTGTCACAAATCAGCTTCACTGACAAAGATATAAGAACTCATGCTAGAATAAGAAGGAAATTAGATGGCTGGAGCACTTGAGGAAAAGGCCAAAGAAACCTCAGAATGATTAACAATTATATTTTAGAACTCGTAGATTACAGATGAGTTACTAGAAAATTGGGAAAGGTGAACAGTGCCCATCTTTAAAAGGGAAAAAAGAAGGCCCCAGACAATTACAGCCTATCTTCAATTCCTGGAAATGTATTGGAATGAATAATCAAGCAATGTATTTTTTAATAGATAATAAATAAGTAACAGCTAACACACAATGTTCAAGAACAGATGATGTTAAGCCAACCTAATTTATATCTGTGACATGATTCAAAGGCTTCTGGATCAGGGAGCAGTAATAGTTATGTCTTCCTTTGACTTCAGTAAGGGTTTTAACACTATCTCACATGGTGTTCACAAGAAAAGGTGAAATCTTCAAATGACTAGTGATTTGCCTGCTTCTAGTTCTGTGTCTTCTAGGGCTGTGCGAAGCTTCGTTTCCTGATTTGATTTGGCAGAGATTCAGCCCTATTCAGTGGCCAAATCTCCAAATCCAAATTGAATCAGGAGACCCTTTAATCTCTCCAAATTGAATCGGAACCCTCCAAATTGATTTGGAGAGATTTGGAAAGATTCAGTGATCCAGACACAGACACAGCTTTAAATGTTTGTTTGTTTTTTACATACTTCAAGGTACCAGGTGGCTCATGAATGCTGCAGTGCAGGGGTGGATGGAGCATCCCACAAGAATGCAGGGGTCTCCCCAGAGTGGTCAGCAGTAGACCTTGAAGTGGACTAGCACTTCCGGTTCACTTAGAGGTCCACTGGAGAGAATGCTGGGCTCTCTCCCCCCCGTGTCCCTCTGGCTTGGCAACTGGTACCTCCTGGATATGGGGGAGCACCCAGAGTCTCCCCACAGCTGATCACTGAGCCAGCAGGGGAATTGGGGGGCTGGCCCCCAGTGTGCTCCCCGGCGGACCCGGAAGTAGATCAGAAGTATTTCCGGTCCACTTCTGGGTTTGCTGCTGAGCACACAGGGGACCCCCCTGCGCTCCTGTGGGATAGTCCATCTGCCCCAGCATCACAGCATTTATGAGCCATGCCTGGTACCTCAAGGTATGTAGAAAAAATATTTAAAGCTGCATCTATGGCCAAATCACTGATTCTCCAAATCAGCATCGGCTCTTCAGATTCAGATTTGGCTGAATCGAATAGGGGACAGTGATCCAAATCAACAAATCAAATCACTATCCCCTATTTGGGCTGAATCTGAATTGAATACAGCCCATTTTGCATACCCCTGTTGTCTACTCAAAATCAGAAGCAATAACATTATTGATAATTTTCCAAAAACTTAGCCCTAAGACTTTAGATGGTATTTTATGCTATATGTGATGTATTCTAAATGTACAACAGAGTGCATTAAGCTTTGAAAGCCAGGGTTTTAAAAGTATATGGCAGTAAGGTGCTTAGAAGATTTTGAAAATCCCACTGTGTACCCCTTTTTTCTTAGGTACATAAGTGTCAATAATAACTTTGATCATAATGTTTATTGCATCTTTACATATGTTAATACCTTTAAATATCTTGCCTTGACAACCCTACTCAGTCTCATGCTTTTTGTAATTTAATGTCCTTGATTAACAATCTCTAATGTTTAAACTAAATTATCATGCCTCTAAAATGATGATGTAATTGCTTGGCAGCTGCCCTGGTGTCATTCAATCTTGAGAACTTTCAAGAAGCTATACACTATTTATAACCATTGATTTAGACAGACTTTGCAAGTACATGTATAGCAAAAGCAATGTTAGCCCATAAACCAAGATATATATCCAGAGTAAAGAAATATTTTAGGATTCCCTAGGCAGGAATGCTTAAGTACCTTTTTAAGACCATAGACTATTGCCAGCCCTCACAAAAAAGGTTATTCCGGCTGCATGCTCTTAACATAACACAATCTTTTTTTTCTTATCAATGGAAGCAAAATCATTGTTTATATCTACAGTTTTCAATTGTTCTGAATTACAAAGATACACATGTCGTAATTAAGACTTACTTTCCACACTAATCATGAAGAGGGAGATTTTCAAAATGCTGTACCGAGTTAGATAGATGCTTCCTATATATCTTACTAGGACTTGCATTAAATCCTTATGCAATGCCTTGACATTTCACCCTAAACAAATGGTCATACTTTACACTTTCATGAGATGTTACTTGAAGATATTTTCCTTCAAAATTTGAGAACATGTGGATTTTAAGGAAAAATATAGAATGATTAACTATTTACTTATTTCATCACATTCACCCAAGGCAAAAGACTGTATTCATATTTTCAAGTAATGAAAACAAATGTCTTAAATTATTAACTACTGTTACTTATTTTTTGCCATTTGGATTTCTTGTTTAATTAATGCAAAATTCAGATTATTCTAAAACGTGCATAAATATGATCCCTCGATAAATAAATATAATTGAATAAATGAATAAAAAGTCAAACAGTCACACTTATCTTATACCAGCTGTTGTTCATTCAGATGTATTTTCCATATCTATTGTAGCTCTGGAGAACTAACAACCCAAAAATATGACATAGGGTTTTTTGTGTGTTTAGTGTACCTGAATACAGCTTTCCAATAGTCTTGAATTCTTCATTGTTCAGAATAGCTGGAACCTTGGTGTCCACAGAAGATAACTGGCATTGCTCAGCCAAATAAAGAATTTCTTCAATCTGGCTACATGCATTAATCTGTTAACTGTATTTTCTGAAATAATATGTTTTGAATCTCCATAGATAACCTCATTGACAGTGTCTGTGCTGCAATGTGTACTAAGGGTTTGCTGGGGTAGAGAAAGTCTTCCTTGCTCTAAGAGATTAAGTCCAGTGGAAGTAAAGAAATTAGAGATAGTGTGGACAAGTTAATCAAGTCAGGATACCAGAATGCTCTCATCAAGTCTGGAACTACTGTAATTGTTACTACTAACTGTTATCCAAGCTTTCTTAAGTTCCTCAGCATTAGGGAATATGTAGGTTGGCATAATTTGTCCCTTGAGATGATAGGGTGCTAGGGTGAGGAAGGCATCAAACAGACAGGCTGGGCATAGACCTTTTCTCAGCCACAAACTTGTTTATTTCTGTTCTGTGCAGATCTATGGATGGTTGATTCTATTCAAGAAAGGTATTTTGCATATTGGAGTCCTTGGGTTTCTTTCAGTGACCTTTTAATAATTGCCTGCATGGTTGTGCTAAGGGATATTGTAGGCACGGTAGGAACAGAGCTACTGAGAAGATTTCGTGGTACATACACCAATTTCAAACATATAACAGATGTGTAAGAGGGATTGTAGGATGAGATTTTCTCCCTGTCTGATACATAATTGGCATGATCTGCATTTATACCCTGATTTAAAAAGGACCTATTAAATTGTCTTGAGTGAAAACATATTTACTAGAAGTGGCATCTCTGCAAGTCTATAAGGCCTGGAATTAGTGATATTCTATGTGAATTTCCCAGCTGAGCACTGAGTCAAACATCAACAACATTTCTGTGATTTGTAAAGAATGGAATTCCTTTGAATACCTGAGCAGATTATTCTAGAGTTTCTTGAGGCAGGTGAACTTAAATTAAATGGTCTAATACCCCATTCAATGTTATATTTGATAGGCTCTTTTTGGTTGTCTCTCTCCCCATCCCTTTCTTTCTCTCCCTCTCCCTTTTCCAATATCTCCTAACTTCATCATATCACTCAATATTTGTATTATATTTTGCAGACAAAATATGGGATAAACTGCTTTTTCCTTTATTTATTAGAGTAGCCTTTACAGTGAGCTAACACACACAGTAAGGACATTTCAATTTGACCTTATAATCATTAAATAGGTGGAACTGTTGTTGGAGTGATCAACAAAAAATAGCAATATCAGGCCAGAAGGGTAAATAGTTATTTCTGTCGTGTAAACAAGAACATTATCACAAGAGCAAAACAACTGGAAATTGTATAACTGGATTCTATGTTACTCAATGATTTATACAAGTACCTGATATTGAAAAGTTAGAAACATAAATCCCAAGCGATAATTTAGAATATGACTGATAATTTAGGTAGGATTTATGGTCTTATGTGACTTGCAAAACACAGTAATAATTACTTAAAAAGGGCAGAACAAAAAGTAGAGACAGAGATAATATTATAACTGATTTTCGAAGTGTATAGACATCAAGTTGTACATATTTCAATGGAATTACAGTGGAAGGGAAGTCAATCAAACTATTTCTAACTATAGTTCAGGCTCTTTGTTATAGTGGTATAGGTTATATCATAAAGGTTCATATTTAAGTTAGTTTTCTTTTCATCATCACTATGAATAATACTTATAAAGATTTTAAGATTGATTACTATATTTTCTTGATACCACTTAGCTGTGATTTAAGTTACATGCTGAGTAGAGGGAAGGCAAAAAGTATCAGTTAGATTTCTTGTGTTAAGTACCCACTGTAGAAGGCAGCAGACAGTGAAACAGATTTTCTTTTACCTTAACAATATCTCCCTCATGCAGCTGAAAGCTCCTGGCTCTAAGATGGATCCCTTTTCCAGCTTCTGTTTCAATTTTATAGATACATTCATGGTTGTTGTCATAATTAGATGGAAAATTTGGAGACAGCAATGTTCCTTCATTTCCAGAGACACTTGCTCCACATTCAGCTAAAGAAAATAGGCACATTGGAAAAAAAAGTGAATTATCCATTTCAAGAGAATAAAATAATGTTTATTTTCAAACCTGACATTAAGTCCCTAAGATAACATATTAGAGACTATCTAGAGACAAATATATTGCTCCTGGGCTTTTTTTCTATTGACATAAGCTATCAAAGAAAAACAATAATTTGCTTTCAACAGTATCTCAAAGGGTTTATTTACCACATGCTTGATTTTTTTAAATTGAGGGATATCCAGACCCTCTTGGTTTAATTGCCTTGGCTTCTCATTTATCTTTTGATTAGCCCTCATTCACAATGTGAAACCCCTGATTACCCACAAGTTGTTCTAGTTTTATGCAGAGTAAGGGTAGCACTGATCATAATAGTGGGCATGTCTACACATGCAATTAATGTGACTGGATATACCGTGGCTCATTCTGAGCCATGGTAAACCAATCCCCATGTCACCATCTACATGTGTGTTTAAGCACAGTAATTTACTGTGCAGATGGATACAATTTGTATCTTACAGGACTATCCAGCAGCACAGTAAATTAGTCTCCTGCACCCTAATTGCCACACGGGTAGACATTGATGCTTTACTGTGCAGCAAGTTAGTCTGTTGCCCAGTAAAGTGTCTCATGCAGATGGACCCACTGACTCCCTGTTCAGCCTAGTACTAGAAAGAGTGGAGACTCAAATATTATAGTAAAAGAATTTGACATTATAACAAATGGTATGCCTTGGCTTCTTAGAAAAGTTTCTTCTATTGAGAATAAAGAAGCTGCTGACAGGTCACAATAAAATCAAGCTGCTCACATCCTTCATAGCCAAAAGGTAGAGGAAGGCTTTTTCCAAGTAGTCAGAAAAGAATTGAAGAGACTTTCTCTTACAGCAGTAAAGGGATTATCACTTCATTGCTCTGCTGCATTGCTTTACATGGAGGAAAAAGGTAAGGTTATGGGCCAAAGCTTGTTTTATGACTGAAGAGTAAATAAAGGTTAAGATCTAGTGAAACTACAAATGGTAGTTTTAATCTCTAACTCTGGCAAAGGAAAAAATGGGATACAGTTTTGAAACAAATAATTAGAATACTGGAGGGTAAATAAAACACTTTGAAAACCCCAAACTATTATTTACCTTACAGTCAAACTAGTACTTAGGTGTTACAATTACTCTGAAATGTCACAGAATACATTTATTCAATAATGAGACATATATAGCAGGCAAAATAAATTGCAAAAGAATAAAAGGTTTTGGTCTGACTAAAAAATCCTAGGCTTGAGCCAAACCCACTGTGTTTTATTTGTAGTAATAGCTAAGAAATTTAGAATCTTCCAGGAAAAGGTATTTTAAATGCCATGAGTGAATTTGCTTAAAGGCATATACTCTAAATACATTTTTTTCCTATGGATTTAAAATGGACTCTTAGTGTATGTTACCAAAAACTGCAAGAGAGGAAAAGTGTAGGGCTGAAACCTACATTTTAGATACCTTTATTCTATTCAGAAAGAATGGAGGAGGAAAGCAACTGTGGTTTCACCTGTGAAGAATCATCAGTGAAGCTCTAGTGTACCATGCCCCTTCCTTTACTTATCCCAGTAAGATCCTGAACTATTTTTTCCTTAGTCTGGGGATGAGGAAACAGAGAGCATCAGAGTCTTCCTCACCAAATTTTGTCAAGCAAAGTGCTCCTGATATTTCCAGCCAGTTTAAAACTATTTTGTATTACTTACATGGTTTAAAGAACCTAAGCAGATGGGAAAAGCCATCTCTAAGTGTCTATTTTGATGGATGAGTCAGAACTGATAACTCCGTTTATATAAATTTTACAAGTCTAAGCAAATCAAGAAATCCTTCTTGGACAAAAGACATAGCAAATGCATAACAGATATTATAGTATAGAGGATCATATATATGTGTGAATATATATATATATATAAAATATATATTGTTTATTCAAGGTGTGTGTATATCCATATATATATATATATATGAGATCCTGTATAATACCCGTTACATGGGTAACAGATAGGTCTTTTGTCAAGGGAAGATACCCTGATATGAGTAGGCTGTGGAATTCATGTGTATATATAGTCTTATTTAGTATATGTAGTCTAATGTGTGTATATTAAATACTATAATATACAGCCAAGCAATATTTACAGTGATATAGTACTTTATTTGATATATAAATAATGTATACATATATATTACTTATATTTATGAGTAATTAACAAAGTTGACTGAGGAGAGCTCAGGTATTCTGTACATGTGTTCTGCAAGCAGGTGTCTGCCCAGATAAAAATCTGTATCCTTGAGGAATAAAAATCTTTGTTCCCTTAGGCACTTTTTATATCCATTATCTACCTTCTTCAGAAAACAAAAACATACTTACTGGAAAAGAAATCTTTATACTGTTTCTACATTATTGTGCATTTTGACTCTACGATTGAATTGTAACCTGCAATGGGTACACAGTGTCAATAGCTATAAACCTCTGCCAAGAAGTAATTTAAAATCAACACTGGACTGAGTCAGAATAAGAACAGCAATTAGGAACCTATTAAACAAGTTCCCAATTAAAAAGATGAATTATACAATGATTCTGAAATACTTGCAAAGTAAAACCATTCCTGTTGCTGTTGTTATTTTATAAGAATCATCATTTACAAGAGATTTTATTTCAGATATAGATACTTAAATTTCCTGCTCTGGAGTGTTTACAGTCCAAAGATAGATAGAGGGACTAGGGATTGGAAACAATAAGTTGGGAAATAAGAAGATGGATGATGAGGGTTAAAGAAATAAAAAAATAACCAAGTTGTCATGACCACCTTGTTTTCCAACGTGTGTTCTATAACAGGCACAGATTCTTTCCCTCTCTCTGGACTCCATTGGTTTTCTAAAATCACAGTCCAGGTCAAAATGACCTTTTCCCAACACCCAAAGCATCCAAGGCTAATCATCCAGCATCCCTAAAGCATCACACCATCATCTATGGCAGCGCTCTGGTAGAATTGCAAACACACCCAACACGATACATCACTTTCCTTAAACAGCAGTCTCCTTCCCTATCATGCCAGAATTCAGCTCCTATCTTCTAAAAATATAGCTGCCAATGACATTACTATCACAAGTAGTCCTGAAGGGAATGCCCACATGCCAACTGTTACTGATGAGAACTGAGCATCCTTTGGCTTGCTGGGATATAGTGTTAAGGGGAAACTGATCAAATGAAAGGATATGAAATCTGTGGCTAAGCTTCTCTCACTCCTGCCCCTAACGGCCATTGATTTCTTAGTCTGTGTCAGCTCAGACTGTCCTGCTCTTTCCTTAACCAGTTTTTTACAGCATATCTAGATGCTTCTCATACAGTTTTTGGTTCCAAGGTTTTCTCCCTTAGCTACAGAAACCTACCTTTTCCTGAATCCACATAAACAGCAAAGGTAACAGGGAAAATTGGGGGGGTCTTGAGTCCTCAAGGCAGAGTATTCTCTTCAACTGTGAACTATGGCTTAGATGGTTAGGCATCACAACAAAATGATCATGACAATCTCTTATTTCTAGGCACCTGGAAGAAGCATGTAATCCACAGCCCTATGCTAGGCAATCCAGTCTTGCCATCAAATGCATGGGAGAATTCAGTGCTTCAGAATGGCACCCTCAAAAGTGGACTACTGAACAAACCCACAGACTGAGGATATTTCTCTCTGAACCTTAAGATATTTTCCTCAGCACCCATAGTGACAGAAGTCACTGATCTTTTCTTTCCTTTTTAACAAAGAAGGCAGTATACCCACCACACTATTATGTAGTATCAAACTCACATTGCACATCTCAGAGCTCCTCCACATTAAATACAGGAACTCCAGCTTCAGCAGGGAAGAGGAGCATGTGAATGTGAGCATGACTCCCTGCCTAACAGTTACAACATTCATCAGGACAAGGAAGTTCTGGGTGCCAATCCCTGATCCAACGGCCGATTCAGAATTTTATTTACTCATTGTTTGATGTAAAATACATAAACAGTCCTTGGAGCAGCAGCTGGAACCCAGGACCTCTTGCTCCCAGCTGAGTGCCAAAACCAAAATGTTGGTGGCAAACCTTTTTCCCCCATGGGCTAGAGTTTGCAACTCCCAGCATCCTGCTGCAGGCTGACAATTTGTCCCCTGGAGAGCTCAAGTCATCTGTTTGTGGTGAAGATGGTCAGCCACTCTGCAGCAAGGTAAGTACAGGCACAAAAGAACAACTGGGGGCACTATGGAACTGTTTCCTGCAGAGGGGTAAATGACTTAGTACAGCTGTGTACTACCCAATACCTAGTATTGCTGCAGGCAAGGTTGGACCTTTTCACCAGCCAGATTCAGTACACAGGCCACTGGTTGCTGGTCCCTGTGCTAGAGAGCTATATTTTCTTGCATTTTCTCTCTCTTTCCCATACCACTCAAAAATAAATATTTCATACTTTTATGCAAAATGGAACAGTTACAATAAGCCAGACAGTATAGAACATCCTACTGCCTGGTGGCTAAGGCATCTCAAAGGAAGTGGGAAATATAAGATCCTTTCAGGCTGAGTATTTCGCACATGCACTCTAGCCATTCAGATATTATAAAGGAAGTGGGGTGGCTCCTCCTATGTCTTTTTGTGTGTGTGCGTTTGTCTTTCAATGGTAGCTACCATTTTGTGCAAAGCCTGATACAGGGGTCATGCTTTAAGATCACGTACTGGATTAAATTTCTCAGGCAAGAGAGGCAGAGGAACTTGTAGTATGTGGCTCACAGTTAGACATGAGTTAGTTTAGACTCAGTCCAATCAGAATGGAGGCTGAGCATATGCAGAAGTAGAACTGTGAGTGCATGAGGAACTGAACATATGTATTTTTGATTAAACACCTTCAGAGTTCGGTGTCAGATGAGTGAAGATTTAAAGGATCACACATGATCTTAAGACAATTATGGTTTGTGGCAAACAGTTTGGGCCACAGCCCCAAATTGCTGC